CCAGAATCTCCATAGGTTTTTTTTTTTTTTCGAACATGGATTATTTTTTTGGTTTTTGTTTGTTTATTTTGTCCAACCAACTTTCAGTGTCATGAGGAACACATTTTGGGAAATGATTGATTTGGTTATTTTCTTTGGCAGAAAACACATATATCTGACCATTAATCTTCTTTTAGCTCAGAGATGCTTAAATTTATTGTTCAGTCAGCAGTTTGATGCCACTTTAATTTGTAAGCCTTAGGTTTATCATTGTCAAAATATATACATAAACAGCATTGTATTTTACTTTTGAAATCAGATCTTTGAGGCTCCATTTTAGAGATGTGATGAGAAAAGTTGGAGAGATGTTGACCAATCTAAAATCTAAAATTAAGAACATGTCCGAGACAACATCATAGCACCTATAGTTGAAAAACAATATGCTGTATTCATGAAAAATGCTAAAAGTAGATTTTAAGTGTTCTCACCACAAAATGACAATGGTGTGAGTTAAGGCATATATTTTTTAGCTTGATTTAGCCATATTATACATGACAACACATAAATAACATGCTGCAAATGGCATACAGTTTTATTTGTCAATTAAAAAATAAAAAATTTAAAATATTTTTTAAAGATTTCTACATGATGGTATTTTTTTGAAATATAGTTTGTAACTATATATCCCAGCATTATAAATATTTTGTTTTAGAAATTATATAGATTGCCAGGCATGGTTACTCATGTCTTTAATCCCAACACTTGGGCAGCAGAGACAGGCAGAGCTCTGTGAGTTTGAGGCCAATTTGGTCTATACAGCAACTTCTGGGCCAGCCATGGCTACACAATGAGACCCTGTCTAAAAAAGGAAAAGAAATTATATATGTATATATGTGTGTATACACACACAGTATATGGACAATTTTAAAATATTTCATTGTATTATAATTTATTAGTCACTTGTTTCCAGTTTTTCTTATGTTGGTGATGGTGGTAGTGAATATCCTTATGCATAAAAGTAATTGGGTGGTTATGTCTTTGTTATAAATTTCCAGAAATATAATTCTGTGTTCAAAGTGAGTGAATCGTTAGGTTTTATTTTTCCATTTGTGGTGTGTTACTTAAAAATTGGACTTGTGCATGCTAGGGAAGTGTTGTACCATTGAGCTATACCCTTATGCTCACTGTCCGATAAATTTGAATAGCTGTCTCTTGTGTGAAACCATTCAGGCAGGAGAATGTAAGTTTCTCCATTTCAGTAAGATATTGGATTGAAACCTTAGCTGACAGCCTTTCCCTAAATGTGAAGCCTGTGGTTTGTTAGCCCCCAAAAGTGCTGTGTCATGCATTATTTTATATTATTTAGCTATAAAATAGAACCAGTAAAACATTTGAGACCCAGGAAGAAGTAGTCCTGATGCATTTGAATTACCATCCATCTGTGATTATTAACATGAAATTGATAGCAACTTAAAACTGTCTTTATTTATTAGATGTGACATGCAAATATTTCGTTTATAAAGCAGCTCATGTATTAATTTATTTTGTTTGAAAATCTTTGTGGTTGTGAAATTTTGCATCAATTCTTTCTACTATAGAAATAAAATTACATACTTTGTGAGAAAATTAGAGGTAACAAACTTGTGCCTGAAGATACTTTAAAATCTCTATATTTTCTCATTATGAAATTTTTAGTTTTAACGGTGTCAAGTTGGGCTATAAGAAGACTTGTCAGTATACTGTAGAAGGATGCCAGTAACCTAATTGCTCCCTTCTTTTTGCTTGGAGGAGGAAGAAAGTGGTCCTATGAAAGTGGTCCGCTGGTGCCCTGGATGTGGAGTGGAAGCTCCCAAGCAGCAGCTTCATTTTCTCAGAAATCCTGCATTGTTTGTCTTCATCTACTGCAGCTTTGATGGACATCCTGACAGCTGTCTGTATACACACTGTTATGAAATATTAGAAGTGACTGTATGTTCTGAAGAAGCTTAGCACATGGAAACACATCGTGGCTGCTGGTGTTTCTATCTTTACACATTTTACTTATCGCTTCTGTGTAGAAAGAATGAAACTAGTTTTCAAGCCTATTAATGTGAATGTATATCATGTATCAATAGGTGAAAAGAAAATACATTTCCTGAGCTAATAGTAATTCACTTACTGTCTCTAATAGAAACTTTGCTCATCCAAGCCTAGTATAATTCTTGATAATAAAACAAGAGTTTTGATCAATAACAGCCTACAACTTGAAAACGCAATGTGAAGGATTCATAAAATTGTCTGTCATATTACTTTTTAATAATCATACCAAAATTAGTGTCAGGATGGTTTATCATGGAAAACAGGTTTGGACCTAATGAAATAACACTTTATATATTTCTTTCTTAAAGAATTTAATTGAATATATGAATCTATATATTTATGGCACATCTGAAATTACAGTTTCTTAAAATGTAAGAATAACGTAAGAAATAAATAGGATGAAAGAATATGGCACAACATATGTTTACTTTCCACAGAAACATAAACAATAATATTCTCTATTAACTTAGTATCCTACACTGTGCAAGACTTCAAAATACTTTATTCATAGATTGTACTTCGGTGATGTGATGAGATTTCTTTCAAAGATGACCAACAGTGTCCTTTTCTAAGTACTGCTGTCAATCAAACATAATCTTAGTTCTAGGTAAAAGGAACTGAATGATGTTAAACCGTAGAGTCATTGGCACAGAGCAAGAACTTAATAAATCAATGTTATTTGTTACAGTTGTCAAGCGAATGGCTTCAATAACAATCTCAATTTAAAGGAAATTTGTGATGCAAAAACGTCTGCTAGAAATAGGTGGAATGGGTATGTGAATGTTCAGGGGTTTTAGACATTGCATAATAGAAACAATACAAATAAAAATAGAAGCAAACAAGGTTCAACCCAGAAACCTGGGTGGGAAAAAGCCTATAGCAATTACAGTGAGGAGAGTGGATGTGAGGAGGGTCCAGTTGTCCTGGAACACAATGGGGCAACAACAGGCAGAGCCCCCAATGATGGGAGAGGCTTTGGGTACTTCCTTTTTGCAGCTTCTAGTGTTCATTAAGAAGGAAACAGGAAAGCGTGGGCTAAAAACCCTGCGACATAAACACACCTTTTAGACTATCACTATCACCACACGTGCCCAGCATGCCTGTAGGAGCACATGGTTTAGACTAGATCTAGATCTGAAGGCTCTCCTGTGTGGCCAGGCAAATGTCGTTCCTGGTACTGTTTTGGTAGATCAGGGCCTGGAACAAAACAGTGCACAGATGCCCGTGTCTCCACTCCTACAGGGGCTGGACTAGGAGTTGGCATCTTGGTTTTGACATCTCATCCTTCAGTCTCCTTACACTTTGCCCTGAAACATAAAATAGAAAAATTTAACAACAAAAACTAATATAAATGATTTCCAAAGCAGTATCTAGTTTCTCATAGTTCACCTTTGATTCGAAGATATGTTGTTTTATAAAGTATTTCTTTCCCTTCCTCATTTTCCTTCTTCTCTCTCCTTTTTCCTTCCTTCTTTTCTTTCTTGAGATAGGGTCTCACTGTTTAGCATGCCTGGAACCCACTCTGTAGACTAGGCTGACCTGGAACCCCCAGAGATTCACCTGCCTCTGTCTCTGCCACCTGGGGATTGAGATTAAAGGCATGCACCACCATGCTTGGCTCTGTGTATTTACATAAATGACCACGTAAGCAGATGTCCATTGGTGACTTCTATATATATACATATATATATGTATATATATAATCTTGCAAGTGTCAATAACATACCACTGATTCAGAATAAGAATACTGTAGTATGTGCTTGTAGAAATGAATTTGAAAGTATAATTTGGCCATGAACAAATGTGTGAATAGTTTTTCTCAGATCTATACAGTTTTGATGGTGGGATGAGAAAGAAAATCAAAAGCTATGTGATAGGCCCTGAAGTTGGAGGAGGAGCCTTCCAGAGAAAAAGTGAGAGAGGACATTAACCTGGATACATGATAAAGTTCACAAATCTTGAGATTTAGGGTCTTTTTGTTTACAAAACACAGTAAAGGCAACAAACTGAAGTGCCTTTCCATATGGCGTGCACACGTAAGTGCATTGGAGTCATGGTCATTGGTGTTCCTAGTGGTGTGTAGGGGATATTCTCAGGTTTGTCAGCTAAGAAAATTTGAGTCTTCAAGTTAAATTTGTATTATATTTATTTGCATGTATATATGTGTGGGTGATCATGTGCCACAGAGTGGGTGTGGAGCTCAGAGTTAGGTTTTTCTTTCCACCATGGGGATCCTGGGGATCAAACTTAGGTCTTCAGGCTTGGCCGCAGGTGCTGTTACCCAGTAAACCCTCCTGCCAACGACTATATTTGATGTTGCTGTTCAGTCTAACCTGAGGTCTTGCCAATTTTGTTGATCTTTACCAAGAACCAAAATGTGTTGTTCTCTATGGTTTCTATTTTATTTTCCTTAAATTATGCTGTAATCATCATTTTTCTTTCATTACTTCATGTTTGCTATGAATTTAAGTTGTGCTTTTTCCCGCATTTTAACGGGTTAGGTTGTTCTTTTGAGATTTTCTGTTTTAAATCAGGGCGTGTATAGTTCCATTTTCCTTAAGCATTGTTTTAGCAGAAGCCCATAAGTTTTTTAATGTATATTTTTACTGAATTTTTGTGCATTTCATACAATACATCTTAATCATAATTAGACCCCTTCCCCTATCTGCATGCCCCATAGCCCACCTACCAGATTCCATGCATTCTGTCACATATGTTAAGGCATACCTAGTCAAGTTTGTGTGCCCAAGAGAAGTCTTTTGGTCAAGGAGAATAGAAGTCTTTTTATTTGAGGGAGGGGGTAAGGTATTGAGGCCTGCATTTAAAAAAATTTATATTTTGAGAATTTCATAGGTTTTAATCATATTCAGACACCCCATTTCTAGCTCCACTTTACTATTGCCTATTGGTCTTTTTTTGAGACAGGGTCTCCCTGTAGCCCCAGCTGACCTGGAACTTGCTATGTAGACCAGGCTGGCCTCAAACTCACAGAGATCCGCCTGCTTCTGCCTCCCAAGTGCTGGGATTAAGGGCATGTGCCACCAAGCCTGGCTATTATTATTATTTTTAAGGCCTACTGAATCTAATTTGTGTCCCTAAATAGTCTTTGGTATGGTTACATACCATGGAGCCTAGTCAACTTACCCAGTGTTACACCCTTAAGAAAAGTGACTCTCCCTCTCCCAGTAGCTGTCAGTTACCATTAGTTCCTAAGCTAAAGTTGGGGCTTCTTGCCCATCTCAAACCCTTCCATGCTGGGATTTTGTCTGGCTTGCATAGGTCTTGTGCATGCTGTCATAACTATTGTGAGTTCATATGAGTAACTGCCATGGTGTCTGGAAATCACTTTCCTCGTAGTCATCTACCACCTCTGACTCTTACAATCTTGCCACACTGTCTTTTGAAATGATCCTTGAGCCTTGAGAGGAGAAGATGTGATATAGGTGTCCCACTCGGGGCTAAGTAAGCACTCTGCAGTCTTTTATTCTCTGTATATTGGCCAGTGTTAATTTAATCAGAAGTGGTTGGCTATTCCTATAGCAAATTCATGCCACTCTTGTACCATTGGGCATATCTTGCCAGGCCAGTTGTTATTTTAGCTTTCAGGGTTCACAGCAGGGCAAGGTTAATGATTACTTTTCTCTTCTGGTAGCATGCATAGCACCTTCTCGCAGTATGAAAGCTAGCCAGTAGAGATGAAGTTTTGAGGTCAGTGTCAGCTTGATTTCTCCTTGTTTGTCCTACAATTCATGTTTGTAGAGTCTTCAGCAGTAGGATCTTACTGTCTAGTTCTGGCTGGTAACCAAGACCAATGGCAATATTCAGTATTGTTTGAGGGTCTGTGGGATTCCTCTCACCCCTATCAAGTGCTCCAATTGAGAGAGTCTGTGTGAGGGGATATGGAATGAAGTGATATAAAGGAGGAAAGGAGAATAATGGAATAGGAAGGGTTAAGTGGGGTGGGGAATGAGAGGGTAGGGCAGAAGAAGTGTGGGGAGGGATAACAGTAACAGCCTTCAAAAAACATATGGAAACCTACTACTATAGAAGCTTCTTAAAATAACACCTATCAATATAAAAAGAGTTAAATGGAGTTACCCTATAATGGGTGTTCAGTGGCCCTACCAGATACCACAGGCAAGCAAATAAAAATCCCAATGACAGGAGCCCTTGTAGTTTTATATTTCTAAGTCCCAAAGGCCTCTTTCTTTTCACTGAAGTGGCCAACTCAGGAGTCATTGTGAGCCTAGGAAATGGGTTGTGACTTGGATACAAATTCATAGACACAGATGTACATGTTAGAAAAGACCGTGCTGTGTTGCAAGTGATTACACCTGGAAACATCAGTTGACATCTGAGAAGTGGAGAGAACAGCTGTGTGAAGGCCAGGATGAAGACTGGCATGGACAGAGCATGCATGCTCACTCAGTGCTCACCGATTGGGTCTGACTGCTCTATCAGAGCCCCAGAGGCACAACGTGCATTACCCAGTATGCACATGAGTCGAGCACTGCTGGTGTGTGGGTCTTCAAATCAGGGATCCTTGGGCCCGGCTTTTGGAAGCAATTTGAGGACAGTTCCTTTACTCCCTGCATTTCTAGGCTTGGATTTGAAAAATATTTTCAGGTATTCAGCTCAGCAGCAGGCATAGGAACACTGAGCCATTATGGGAAAGGTAGGGTGAGACTCCGATTTTGCAAATAGCCCTTTCTGATTGAGTATATCTGGACTTCAGAGAGAAATCACTCAATTTCCTCCCTCCTACAAGTGAACTTCAAAAGGACAAACAAGAAAAAAACAAGGCATCTTCAAACTCTCTCTCCTAAGGACTGCTCCTTTTTTGTTTTTACTGTTCTGTCTTACTACTTGTTTCCCTATGTGTTCTCTGTTATTTGTATACCTTTATCCCATATACTTTTCCTTCTTTCCTAACTTGTTTCTCGCTTTTCCTTTCTTCATTCCTCCTATTTTAATTAAGTAATTATTAGCATTTTAATAAAATTTAAATTCCTAGTTTGTCCTATAAGTGCACTAGCTCCTTCTATGTGTATGTGTATGTCCACAAGTATATGTGGGTGCTCTCACCCATGAAGGCATTCATGGAGGCCCGAAGTTGACATTGGGATGCCTTTCTCAATCACTTCTCCACTTACTTTTTGAGATTGGATGTCCCGCTGAAACTGTAGCTCATTATTTTGGGCTAGATTGGCTGGCCATCAAACCCTGGTATCCACATGTTTCTGCCTCACAGCACTAGGGTTATAAGCATGTTTCTATCACACCTGCCCACCTTTAGACATGAGTGCTGGGAACCCAAAGTTGGGACCTCATGCTTATACAGTAAGCACTTTATCCACTGAGCCATTTTCCAAGCCCAAGCTTCTTTCTTTTCCCTCTGCATTAGTAATGTAGATAATGCTTCCTCTTTTTTAATACATTTAAATATATGGCTTGTTTTTGGAAAGTCATTCTAATTTGTTTTCTTTCTCTCCTCTGAGGGGTAATGGAGATTGAGATGCAAAGAGAAGACTATCTACTTCTCTTATAAAAGTGGGAGTTGTCTGTTCCAACAAATGTGCAGTGCAGAAATGTGGAAAAGTAAAGCAATATGACTTCTCCAAAAGCTCATAACTTCTCAATAATGGAAGCCAAATGTTTTGAAATGATTGAAATCCCAGAAAAAAATAGTTCAAAA